AATCTTTAAAACTACACAACGGATTTTGGAGCGGTTTTTTAATAGATAGAGTGATTCTAGAGGAAGGTTTATATATATTCAAGTACACCTGTGTGAAGCCGGGGCGAATTACTAGTAACAAAAAAAACAAATATTTGAGGGCCTTTATCATTTATAACTAACTTAAAATGTATAATGCTGACCATATTATCTGATTACACAAAGAATGAGTGCGTAGCGATTTCTATGTCGATAATGTGTTTTAATTTAGAAGAAGCTATTTCTATGTTTATTGTCTGGTCTGCGTAGAATAAAAAAATACTATTCGAAAGAGCTTTATAGGCGACGCACTACGTTATCAAAATATTGTATCTTTTTTTTTTTTTATAAAATTAATTTTATTATTGTATATCCGTATATGTATAATTTCTATACAAATGTAACTGGCAGTCTACAAATATGTGCGTTGTCATATTCGTAAAAGCATAATAAAAAAGAAAGATAAAAAAAGAATAAAATTCAAAAATTATCAGAGACATTAACGCAACATTGCATTTTTATTTCATAAACATAATTTAATATCTATCAACCATCCCTCAAATCCTCGAATCAGGTTTAAACAGTATATATACATAAATATACACGATACGTTCGTTCTTTGTAATTTTTTTAATAAATACATATGAGGGTGCGCACAATGTAATTAATATAAATCTACCCGTTTTCTACACAACATTGTAGTCGCATTCAGATGATCGCGGTGACGCTCGGTGTCACATATAAAATAAGTGCGTACATATAAAAAGTTTGCGAAAATAAGTCGGTGTATGTTATATTATAGCTTAGCTTATATTAAGTTTATTTGAATACATATTATTTCTATTCTTGGACTTAGACTTATAGTGGTAGTGAGTTACAATGAAAATAAATGTAACCAAATCCCTCCAGACTATTTCTGGTGATACTTGATGTACTCCGTCCACTTATTAAAACTATAAATAGATGTTATGATATGTAGGTACTGTATATTTTTTTTTTATAACACAGGGGACAAACGAGCATGCGGCTCACCTGATGGTAAGTGATTACCGCCGCCCATGAGCACCCGCAACACCAGGGGAATTGCAAGTACGTTGTCGGCCTTTTAAAAAGGAATAAGCTCTTTTCTTGAAGGTTTCAATATCGTATCGGTTCGGAAATATCATTGCTGGAAGGTGATTCCACAATGTGGTTGTGCGAGGCAAAAAGTTTGTAGAAAACCGTGCTGTGGAAGACCGCCATTCATCCAGATGATCAGGATGGTATTTCAGTTTCTGGCGGGTGAAACTCAGCAGCACTGTCTAAAATACACAGCTTATATCTATTCTTGTGATAAATACGATGATGATTCAGCCATATAGTCGTGCAAAGAAGAAACATAAGAAATGGTCAAATTTCCAGATAGATACAGATAGATAGATCATTCATTCATAATTTAAGATGTGTTGCGGGTGCTCATGGGCGGCGGTAATCACTTACCATCAGGTGCTCATTTGTCTCCAGCGTCATAAAAAAAAATACCGTGATTTACTAATTACATACGTATACTAGCTGTAGCGTCAAACGTTGTTTTGCCATATAAATTTTAGTATTATATTACAATTACAAAATAGGGGAAGGTGCTTGAAAATTTAGGGTTGTATGTGTTTTTAATGCATTTTTATAAAAACTTAAAAAAATTGTCTAAAAAATAAAAAATAAAATGTTAGGGGTTGACAACCCTTATCTCTTGGGGTATAAAAATAAATTAAAGAATACATAGTAGCCGATTCTCAGACCTACTGAATATGCATATACTTCATAAAAATCTGTCAATCCGTTTCAGAGGAGTATGGTAACTAGTAACTAATAACTAATTAACTAACTAATTTGACGGCCTCGGTAGTCTAGCGGTCTAGCACAACGCTTTACGACCGATGCTCGCGGGTTCGATTCCACACACGGGCACAAACATTTGTATTCGCTGTTTGCGTTGTCCTGAGATTATTATTATTATATAATAAAATTCTTAATAGAAAATACAATGTAAATACGGCAGCAACATGTCTTCTGATTATGAATTACATTCTGTCGTATGAATTACATTCAACTCATCGTTAGATCTCAAAAACAATCAGACCCCGATCTTAAATCAAAATCCGCAACGCCATGTTTGTTTGCCAAATAACGAAATCCAATACAAAGATATACCGGTTGTTTGTCAAAGCGAGATCAAACAGAACAATGAACTGCGTATAATCAGATTTTTACTTAGAAAATGATTTCCAAGCGGCGACGAATAATACATTTGTTTATTTACACCTCCACAATGATTGAGACTGATAATTTGATAGCCTCGGTGATTTGGCGTTTCTAATCGTGGGTTCGATTCCTCGCGCGGTACAGACATTTGGATTCATGAGTATGATTGTTTCTATTCTTCTGGAGTTTGCTAGGTTTATTCTGCGAAAGCCTCGGTGGTGTAGCGGTTTAACAGACTGCCTTACTTACAATGGTCGCGTGTTCGATTCCTCACACGGCACAAACATTTGTATTCATTAGTATGATTGTTTGTATCGGTCTGGGTATTTTCTCTTATACATAGAATATTTAAATTTCTATTAGACAGAATAGTAATACAAAATACTGTATTCAAATAAAATTTAAGCACTTTTGAATAGTCATAACAATTTTTTTTAATCTACCGCTCATTCGGAAAGCTGTCTCATCACAAGAAGAACGAGAAAGAACACTTGTGTGTTGCTCTTTTAAATAATCCTTGTAAGTTTACATTTTTCAAGTCGAAACGTGTGAATACAAACTACCAACCAGCACTAATTTATAATATAACAAGCGACCACTCCCGTCTTCGCACGGATGTATTACAAATTTTTGATTTTCTCATCTTGTTCTATCTACTACTTGTATTATACAAACCTTTCTCTTGAATTGCTCTATCAATCTCTGAAAATTGCATTAAAATCCGTTGTATAATCTTTACATATAAATAAAATTGGAGTGTTTGTTTGTAATATCGAAATAACCGTTTGTTACTACATGCATATAAATATAAATACAGTACATACACCAAAATAACATTATTTACAATTTTTGTTTGTCTGTCTGTCTGTTTGTTCCGGATAATCTCTGAAATACCTGGATCGATTCTGATGGGATTTTTTTTGGCAGGTAGTTGATGTAATGAGGAGTTACTTAGGCTATTTTTATTTTAGAGAAATAAAGTTAAATTCCACGCGGACGAAGTCGCGAGAACAGCTAGTTTATTATATAGCTTGCGACCAGTCACGTCTTCGCACGGATGATTTACAAGTCTTTGATTTTCTTATCTTGTTCTATGTACAACACACATGTATTATACATACAAATCTTTCTCTTGAATCACTCTATCCATCTCTAAAAATTGCATTAAAATTTGTTGTGTAACTTATTATATATAAGCGAACAGACAGTTATACTTTAACAGTTATACTTTGTTATATACTATGTAATCTAACAAGTTCAGATTATTATTAATATCATTATTAAATGGTAGAATATGAGACCCGGCTTCCTTCGTGTATTTTTTTTTATGGATGATAATGTAATGGTGCATCCGCTTGTGCTAAACGGATTACGGCGGGGGGGCACCAGTGGAGGATGATAGGATGAGCATGAGGTCAGGTCAGTTAGCCCATCGTGACAAATTCACCAAGAATTTATCACGATAGTTTCCAGGGGGAACTGAGTGGAGGTCAACCTGGTACATTGCTAGCAGTAAGATTATCAATCCACATTACTAACAATCCACTTTCATTCGTGTATTACAATAAATGTCTGAATAGATTCGATCCAATTATCAACTTTGGAATATTGCACTGTCGGAATTCCTGTTTATGTCAACAGAAACTCGAATGTTTCATCTATTTCCAAAAGTATACATTGACTTTTGGAATTAGATTCAGCACTTCAGACCTGAACTAATTCAATTTGGTCCAAGTGGACAGCTTGGATGCTCCGAACAAAAGCGCACTGCGGTGGACAAACAAACAAACAAAGGACAAAGGGCAGTCCGATCTAAGAGAATGCCTTGAGCGAAATTTATTTACGTGCAACGTACGGAAACAGCTCATTGGGGTCGATCCACGGGTCCGTCCACTCTCCTCGCCTGCTGTTCAGTTTTATATTCTCTAGAAATGAAACATCGTTGAAGCTCGTAGTTATGTTTAAGGAAAGATAGCAGATTTATAAGCATTTGTTTTGAATGGAATTGTTAGTACTTTTGTTTGGAAATCAGGTAATACTAGTAGTAGATGTGGAAATGGTACTACAATGACCCTCACTTCTATCTATACATCTATACATATAAATAAAATTGGAGTGTCTGTTTGTTGTTATAGTTTTTTATTCGGAACGCAAACTCATCACAAGAAGAACGAGCTAGAAGCTTGCGTACTTCTCAATAGATCTACACTAATTTAATGATTTCATCTGTTATCTTATATATAAAATTCTCGTGTCACAGGTTTCGTTCCCATACTCCTCCGAAACCGCTTGACCGATTCTCATGAAATTTTGTGAGCGTATTGAGTAGGTCTGAGAATCGGCCAACATCTATTTTTCATCCCCCTAAATGTTAGCGGTAGTCCACCCCTAAATTTTTTTTTTATTTTAAGGCAAAACAACGTTTGCCGGGATAGCTAGTTGTTCTATAAAGAAAGACACCTAATGATTTCATTTGTTATTCTTCTATGAAGAAAGACATATAATGATTTCATTTGTTATTCTTCTATGAAGAAAGACATCTAATGATTTCATTTGTTATTCTTCTATGAAGAAAGACATCTAATGATTTCATTTTTTATTGTACTTTGAATAGTCATTTTTTTATTCTTCCACTCATTCGGAACGCAGACTCATCACAAGAACGTGCAAGAAACCTGCATGTTGCTTAATAGATCTACATGAATAAAGACATCTAATTATTTCATTTGATATTGTTACAGGCCGACCGGAGCCATCAGTCCGCTGGCTGGTGAACGGCGTACTGGTGGATGAAGAATACGAGCATAACACCGGAGATGTCATAGAGAACCGGCTGCTGTGGCCAGCCATACGGCGGGCGGACTACGCAGCCGTATTCACGTGTCAGGCCACCAACTCCCGCCTCGTCCCGCCCAGGGAACTCTCACTTGTTCTGGACATGTTCTGTAAGTACATACTTTTGACGGATAATCCAGGTCACCACAGTCAGAGTCGCGGTGCATTGTAATAGTTCCCGCGGTCGATCCTTCGGCTCCGCCATATTTATTTATTTTAGGCTACTGTACTGTGTGCACTGCTGTATGGCGTGGCTGACAGTTACTAATTTTAACATTTAACAATTGTTACATTTAAGTTAATTGTAAATGTAAATGTTAATTGTAAATGACAGCCTCCGCTTTACTATCCGATGGTCGTGGGTTCGATTCCACGGCGGTACAAACATTTGTATTCATGAGTATGATTGTTTGTATCGGTCTGGGTGTTTTGTATATATAATATGTATTTATTTACAAAAAATGTATCCATGTATTTATATCAGTTGTCTAGTACCCATAACACAAGTTCTGCTTAGCTTGGGACTAGATGGCGCTGTGTGAATTGTCCTGAGATATTATTATTATTATTATATATTATTTTATATGTTATAATTCGGAATGCAGATTCATCACAAGAAGAATGAGCAAGAAACTTGTGTGTTGCTCTTTTGAATACATCTATTCATTCTTCAAATTCTTTTTTATATAAATAATTACACAATAACAAGTAAGAGGCATGCAATAATCAACATAGAAACCGCTACGCACTCTGAATTTTAAGTTTTTCTACAAAATATTCTAAAGATAATATTATTATACCCAATTGTCATAACTTACATAAAACCATTACAGAAAAAAATAATAAACACACAGAGCTCAAGGAAGAAGTGGTCAGAATTTGGAATTTGCACAGTGCATGCATAGGCCCTCTGGTGATCTCCAGTGTAGGCGTAATACCAACGACCCTACAACACAGCCTGCCCGTTTTGAATCTACCTCCGAACACATATATCACAATACAGAAAGCAGCAATATTAAACACCTGTCGTATCGTGCGTAAATTTTGCAGGAATAATAATAATAACACTAGTCACACCAGTCACACAGTTTTTGTATTTTATGTTTGGTTAAAAAACTTGTATCCAGAGCCGTAAAATAGTAAATTAAAAAAAAATTAGTACACACAACTCACACATACACACGCGCTCATACGCACGCTCACATGCGCACGCTACACAAAGGCGGATACACACACAAACTGCTCTTGGTTTCGGCCCGTAAGTGTAAAAAAAAAACCAGCAGAAGCTGAGAGAAATTAAAAAAAAAAAATAATGATTAAAATAATAGGAAATTCATAAATTGATACGCATTTACCGCTTTGAAAGTCCAGCAACAGTAGGTGCAATTAAGTAGATGTTTTCCCTTATTATGATTAGTGCCGTAAACTGCACTACCATAATATATAGGTATTCTTTGTTTACTTAATAATTAATAGTTATGTTTTCTTCACTGTCTATGTTATAATTGTTTTGTTATATTTCATATTACTGTATCGTCTGTTTATAGTAAAATATAAAATGTATAAAAAAAAAATCTAACCTTAATATCTAGGCTCATTATGTCAACACTACTTATTAATATAATACTACTAAATACTTTTCGGTACTCGTTGTCTATCAACTATCTATATATATATATATATATATATAATTATAACTGTAATGACTGTTTGTACCAAAATAAATAAAAAAAAAAATACTAAAAAAAAGTACCATTATTGGCGATTGTGGTTATTATTTAAAAAAAAACCCTAAAATATAAATCATAATATCTTTAATTATATAGTTCTTTTATAACAGCAAGAAATTAATAGTAAAGCAAGAAATCTTTAAATGCAATTATAAATATTTAAATGCAAATTTATTTAAATTTAGTTTGTTGATGTAATATATTAAACACTAGCTGTCCCCGCGACTACGTCCGCGTGGAATTCAACTGTATTCTTCTAAAATAAAAGTAGCCTAAGTTACTCCGTATTACATCAGCAACCTACCAAAAAAAGTCCCGTCAAAATCGGTCCAGCCATTTAGGAGATTAGCCAGAACAAACAGACAGACAGACAAAAATTGTAAAAAATGTTATTTTGGTGTATGTACCGTATTTATATTCATATGCGTGTAGTAAAAAACTGTTATTTCAATATTACAAACAGACACTCTTTTATTTATATGTCTATGGTACTCCGCCCCCGCTGCTGCGACAAAGGAGGGAAACGACTTGAACTTTGGCTGGCGACATGACCGGATCTGATTCGGTCGCCGGCTTCCGGCGCCGGAATACCCTTTATTATCCCTTAAAAAAAGAGGATGATTCAATAATAGAATTAGAGGAAACAATTGATATATTATTAATATTGGCAACACATACATATGACGTACAATCAAGATTTGCTATCTCACTTTGCTTATTTTATTCCAATATATAACTACATTGTACCAGTATGTACGGAAAAAAATTAATATTAATGAATTATTACTAAAATTGTACTGTCTAAACTTATATAATAGTTTATTTCTTATATTTTAAGTTTTATGTTTTGTATTCAATTCATTATAAAAATATATTCGACTAAAGGACTTGTATCCATGGTCATGAAAAAAGCATTATTAAAAAAAAACAAGTGGACGAATGGTCGTAGATATAATTATTAAATCACAGGATCTTACTACGTTTGTTTTAGACAGATAGATAGATAATTTTTTTATTCACAATTATAGACACATAACGTACATGATATACAGAAAAACATGAAATTAATAAAAGAAATGTAGGTGACTTTATGTGCCGCAAAAGTGAAAAGGTAGCCAACTCAGCATAATGTTACAGATAACTCTGCAGCGCTGATATTCTGTTGGCTCCTTACTTATACTATACTTATTATTAAAAAAATACATAAATATTAAACTTCGAGCTCTTTATCAAAATATTTCTTTTTGTTGAGTTCCCGATATGTCGGCATGATCACGGGTAAACTGAAGAGCAGCGGGTAGATGGTATATAAAATCAGGGTGGTTGTAACACCGTCGAAATATCGGGAGGTCAATAAAAATAGAAATAGAAATAATCTTTATTCAAATAAAATTAATATACATAATCACTTTTGAATGTCTTCTGAATTTAAATTCAAATTCAAATTCAAAAATCATTTATTCATGTAGGACATTTTAGCCGCTTATGAACGTCAAGTTTTTACATTATATATTTTTTCCCTACCGTAAAATTATTACACAGTATAAAACAAAGTCTCTGTCGCTGTCTGTCGCTATGTATGCTGAAATCTTTAAAACTACGCAAAGGATTAAGTTAATAGATAGAGTGATTCAAGAGGAAGGTTTATATGTATAATATATGTATACACGTGCGAAGCCGGGGTGGGCATCTGGTTTATTATAAAATCACAAACATATAGTTATTTTAATTTGTGAGATACATTGCATTATATAGAAAATCCACCTGCTGAATGATTTTTAACTATGGACAGTAAAAATATTAAGTAAGTACTCTTTTGAAGTCGTCTCTTAAAAAAAAAGGTATAGATACATTAAAAAAATCGCCAAAAACTCCGTCGAAAAGCTCTGTAGTTTATGTATTATTTTGATGTTAGAATGTCTGTTTATGATTTTCTATCCTGACATCTATGCATATAAATAAAATTGGAGTGTCTGTTTGTAATATTGAAATAACCGTTTTTTTTACATGCATACGGTACATATACCAAAATAACATTTTTATCTGTCCGTTTGTTCCGGACAATCTCTGAAATTCAAAGTGATATATACAATGCATTAAATTCCTTTAACACTCGACTAGTATTACCAAAACTGTTTTGTAGTTATACGAAAAATATCTACCATCGTATTATACAACTATATATAGTTACTTTACGAAATCTAGGCAGTCCTTGAGTAACTCGGTCGAGGGCATCCTTACAAGTTTCGGCGACCAAATTGGAGATATCCTAGAGTGGAGCAAGTTATAAATATCTAAAGTTTCCTCTATTTAGCAAAAATATAAAATACTAGCTGTACACGCGACTTCGTCCGCGTGGAATTTAACTTTATTTTTCTAAAACAAAAGTAGCCTAAGTTACTCTTTATTGCATCAGCTACCTGCCAATAAAAGTCCCGTCAAAATCGGTCCAGCCATTTCGGAGATTAGCCGGAACAAACAGACCGACAGACAGACAAAAATTGTAAAAAGTGTTTGTTTGGTGTGTATACTGTATTGATATTCAAATGTATCTAAAAAAAACGGTTATTTATATATTACAAACAGACACTCCGATTTTATTTATATGTATAGATTATTAATATTACACTTACACGGAATGAAGACAGTTTTAAGAAATAAATTGAATATTTTTTTTTTAAAGAAATAGACCATTACCCAATAAAATTTATTTTCAGTAATTACCGTTTATTATGAATCGCACAAATGAAACAAATAGCAAAGAAGTTCATTGTAAACAGAAATATTCCGCAACAAATCGTCTGCAGTGAATCATAATTTGAAGAAGCTAATGGCATTGTTATTTGCGAGTTTGAAAATTATCTCATTTCAAAAAAAAAATTTTTCGAATTTGAGAAATAGGTCATTTAAAAAAAAAATTATCAGTAATTACCGTTCATTATGAATGAAACAAATAGCAAAGAAGTTAATTGAAAACAGAAATATTCCGCAACAAATCGTCTGTAGTGAATCATAATTTAAAGAAGCTTATGACATTATTATTTGCAAGTTTGGGAATTAATTCATTTAAAAAAAAATTATCTTGTAATTAAGGATTATTATGAATGAAACAAATAGCAAAGTAGTTAATTGAAAACAGAAATATTCCGCAACAAATCGTCTGCAGTAAATCATAATTTGAAGAAGCTAATGGCATTATTATTTGCGAGTTTGGGAATTATCTCATTTAAAAAAAAATATTTTCGAATTTGGGAAATAGGTAATTTAAAAAAAAAATTATCAGTAATTACCGTTCATTATGAATGAAACAAATAGCAAAGAAGTTAATTGAAAACAGAAATATTCCGCAACAAATCGTCTGCAGTGAATCATAATTTGAAGAAACTAATGGCATTATTATTTGAGAGTTTGGGAATTAGCTCATTTCAAAAAAAAAATATTTTCGAATTTGGGAAATAGGTAATTTAAAAAAAAAATTATCAGTAATTACCGTTTATTATGAATGAAACAAATAGCAAAGTAGTTAATTGAAAACAGAAATATTCCGCAACAAATCGTCTGCAGTGAATCATAATTTGAAGAAGCTAATGGCATTATTATTTGAGAGTTTGGGAATTAACTCATTTAAAAAAAAAAATTATCTTGTAATTAAGGATTATTATGAATGAAACAAATAGCAAAGAAGTTAATTGAAAACAGAAATATTCCGCAACAAATCGTCTGCAGTGAATCATAATTTGAAGAAGCTAATGGCATTATTATTTGCGAGACAGCGGAAAAATTCTGAAGCTTAAACAAACAGCGCTCGCTTAATCTTAATTAAGGGTCAAATTAAATCAAAATTAATATAATAGCGTTTTATAAAGACCACTCCATCTTAACTGAGAGTTCCAGCATTTTTCTAACTCGCCACCTCGCGGTCTCACCGGTTATTAAAATTCATTTGGCCACATTAATTACGTTGTATTAAACTCAAACACTAAATTATATATTGTGGCGGAAAACATCCCTTGCCGTTTTCTGATGTTTCCATTTTTTGCTGTTTTTATACTATTTTTTCAATTTTACACAACACACAGTATATATAAATAAGATATTTGTACTGGAAATAGAAATAAAAATAACGACAACAAAATAATAACGTCAGGTGAGATTGCGGTCAAACGCGCTCAAATTTTGATATAAGTAAACTAATCTATACATATAATTAAAATTGGAGTGTCTGTCTGTAACATTGAAATAACCGTTTTTTACTACATGCATATGAATATACATACGGTACATACACCAAAATGACATATTTTATAATTTTTGTCTGTCTGTTTGTCTGTTCATTCCGGCTAATCTCTGAAATGGCTAGACCGATTTTCATGGAACTTTTATTGGCAGGTAGCTAATGCAATAAAGAGTAACTTAGACTACTTTTATTTTAGAAAAATAAAGTTAAATTCCACACGGATGCAGTCGCGGGTGCAGCAAGTAAATAAATAAACTCAATACAAGCACTTATGAATAGTCATATTTTGATTCTACCGCTCATTCGGAACGTAGATTCATCACAAGAAGAACGAGCAAGAAACTTGTGTGTTGCTGTTTTAAATAAATGTCAATTTATATAAATACACAGTAACTAGTAGATAGCATGCGATACTCAACACAGAAACCACTACAACCTCTCTCCTTGGGCAATCAGATAATATTGTGAGTAGCATGAATTTTAAGTTTAAATTTTATAATAAGGTTTATTATAAAATTGAAATTACAAAGAAAGTGTTTTATATACCATTTAAATCTGTTTTTCAGGCAGATTTAAAACAGACTCAGCTGCAGTGGCAGTAAAAAATACGCAATTACAATAAAACGAATAACTAACTCTAGTTAAACGGCATTTAAACGTAAAACTAGTTTGTTATTATTACTTTAATAACTAACTCTTTTCAATAAGCCTATATTTTTCTGGTTCCTTTTTTTTTTAATATTAAATTTATGAAATTATAAAAAAAAATATATGGCAGAAAAATAGAGATAGAATCAATCAAAATCACGCGACAAATTCAATTCAAATTATCTTTATTCATGTAGGTCTATTACAGACTCTTATGATATGTCAAATCTACCGTCAGTTCGGAATTATATCGATATGAGAAGAACTAACAAGAAACTCAGCTCGTATTCTCTTCAAATGAATATTATACATGTTTACAATAATATAGTTTTATTTAAATTCATATTTGGTAGAATAGAGTGACCACCAGCATATGCTACTGAAAAAGCAAAAAGTCTAAAAATCTACCGTCAGTTCGAAATGATATCGAGATGAATAGAATAGAATAGAATAGAAAATCATTTATTCAAAAAAACTTACATTGAAGCAGTTCTGAATAGTCATTACATCGTTCTTCTACCGCTCGTTAAAGCTGTCTCATCACAAGAAGAACGAGATAGGAAACTTGCGTGTTGCTCTTTTAAATAATTTTATTATTACTTTTTACACACCAATTAGCACTAATTCAATTAAATACTCAAATAGAAAAAATATTGAATATATAACCAACTGGTTAAACAATTAATAAGAGGAAATCAGTCATAGTGATTAGAGCAGACCAGTCCCTACAAGCAGCACCCGTTCACGAGTATGACGGATGAGCCAGCCATCACTGCGCTCGACCATATTTTAGGGAGCCCAATGACCCGGTCCACCACGTCCAAGTCTGGACATTTTAGTATGGATGACTACTCAAAACACTAGACCACGTCAAAGCTACTTACAATTGCCATCTGATAGTTATAGTATTCACATTTTACATAAGGATGCATGCGGCAATCAATACAAAAACCGCTATGCTTTCATATTTCTAAAATCAATCAATTAAATCAAGAAAGCAATGATAAAATTAAATTATAACGTTGTATGCTAATAAACTAACAAGAGAAGAACTAATAAGAAACTCAGCTCGTATTCTTTTCAAATGAATATTATACATGTTTACAATAATATAGTTTTATTTAAATTCAAATTTGGTAGAATAGAGTAACCACCAGCATATGCTATTGCAAAAGCAAAAAGTCTAATCAGTGTTCGTAATGAACAGACAGATATTTTGGATTATCATGTAATCCCCTCTCAACTGCACTATATAACCTAAATACAGCTTACAAATCAAGCTGCTTTGTGGCTGAAATAGCATTGAAGTACTCACGCAAACAACTAGTTTCAGTCTAGTATGGTAATGTATGGTTTACATACATTATACTCATGCTCCGTCAGTATTATTTCATAAATTAATTTATTTCCAAAATAAATTACTTTCAAAATCAGTTCAGATTTGGTCACCATCCTTATCACATGTACTATTATCAAAAATCATTTTACCCTTAATCAGTTTAATAGAAATAATCTTTATTCAAATAAACTCATTACGAGCATTTTTGTACAGTCATATCTTGATTCTACCACTCATTCGGAATGCAGACTCATCACAAGAAACTTTCGAATAAGATGGTTTTTTTTTATATAAAAAATTACAGTATAACAAGTAAGAGGCATGCGATAATCAACATAGAAATCGCTACGCACTCATTATTAGTGTAATCAGATAATACTGTCCGTGCTATGGATTTAAAGTTTTTCTATAAAAACATTATTATCGTTAACGAATTCTTCAATTTTATAGTAAGCTTTTTTGCAAAGGAACTGTTTTATATGACATTTAAATCTTTTTTCAGCAAATCTATAACAGACTCTGGTATTTTGCTGTAAAACCTTACCCAATAATATCGCTTTTAATCGGTATATTGTTTATTACTATTATATATTACTAGCTACTCGCCCTTACTTCGCACGGATGTACATGTATTATATATATAAACCTTCCTTTTGAATTACTCAATCTATTAAAATCGCCTTCCAGCGATCTTGACCAGATCGTCGGTCCACCTTGCTGGAGGCCTTCCCACGCTGCGTCTTCCGGTCCGTGGTCGCCACTCGAGGACTCTACTGCCCCAACGGCCATATGTCCTACGAGCTATGTGCCCTGCCCATTGTCACTTCAGTGTCGCAATTCTTCGGGCTATATATTATATATATAAACCTTCCTCTTAAATCACTTTATCTTTAAAATCCGTTTCAAAATCCGTTGCGTAGTTTTAAGGATTTACATAGGGACGGACAGACAGCGACAGCGACTTTATTTTATTCTATATAATGATTATATCTTCACATATTTCTAAAAAACAGCAATATTCATAATATTAATACTAGATTTAAAAACTACCGTCACTAGATTGTTTAACGAAACTTTGCGACACACATGGTAAACGCACTCATGGTATCCGTACAATAGTAAATAATGTATATTAAACACGAAAGTTTAAAATTAAATATTCTTTTAACTTGAATACTTGACTAATCCACTCCAATCGATCCCCCGTCCAATTCCAACGGGGATCGATATTACGACGGCCTAAACCGAGGTTAGAAACCCTAGCGGTGCTCTCAGACTAAAGTCATATCCGTCAGTCCTTCCTTAGTTTGAAGTACCATCTGCACTCGCGCCCTATCGTCCGGTGAAGCTGTAAAGGCCAGCTGCGGCCAACAGCATTAGAGTAGTCCGAAAACTAACTTGACTAATTACGTTCCTGTTTGCAGTGAGGCCACTCACAGTGGAGATCAAAAAGCCAACTGAGATGGGCGAAGGTGGTGTGTTAACCGCTGAACGCAGGTACGAGGTAGCCTGCCAGTCAGCCGGTAGCCGACCTCCTGCAGTCATCACCTGGCACAAGGGGAAGCGACAACTGAAGAGGATAACAGTGAGTAATTATAATATATATATATATATAGAATAGAATAGAATAGAAAATCATTTATTCAAATAAACTTAATTTAAGCACTTTTGAACAGTCATAACAATGTTTTTTTTAATCTACCGCTCATTCGGAAGGCAGTCTCATCACAAGAAGAACGAGCAAGAAACTTGCGTGTTGCTCTTTTAAATAATTCATATATATATATTATTTTTTTAAAATTGGAACAGCAGAGACAATCATACTAGGATCTTTATGATATATATATATCTATACATACAAATAAAATTGGAGTGTCTGTTTGTAATATTGAAGTAACCGTTTTTTACTACATGCATATGAATATAAATACGGTACATACACCAAAATAACATTTTTACAATTTTTGTCTGTCTGTCTGTTTGTTCCGGGTAGTCTCTAAATAGCTGTCAATATTACAAACAGACACTGCAATTTTATTTATATGTAGATATGGATGTCCTCGGTGATCTAGCAGTTTAGCACGCCGTTTTACTTTCGATGTCATTTATCTATATATATAAGGATGTCAATATTTAATAAAGGCAAACAAAGACAATGCATATACAACCTTTGTTTATATGTAGATATAGATGTCCATCGGTCCATCGGTCGTAATGCGATGTGTTAGACCGCTAGACCATCGAGGTCGTCAAAGTAACTGATATAAATACTTAATTATTTTTTAAAAATACATATATAATATACATAGAAAACACCCAGACCGATACAAACAATCATACTCATGAATACAAATGTTCGCACCGTGCGAGGAATCGAACCCGCTACATCAAAGTAAAGCGGTGTCATAGGTTCTGTTAGCACTTGATTGTAGTGAAAATTATTAAAAATACATATCAAATAGACCAGACGTTCCCAAACTTTTTTTGTGTCGTAGATTGCTTGCCATATTTTTCGGTTGTGGGTAGACACCCCATTCTTATCTGGAAATGATTTTTTATAAATTTCTAACTGTAGTAAAGTTTAGTTTTAAAAACAACAAGATGACCGCTGTCGTAGACCCCTTGGAGTATATAATAGACCCCTGGGGTACACCAAAGGTTCTCAAACATTTTGTGTAGTAGACCCTCCATTCTTACATTGTATTGATTTTTTATAAATTTCTAACTGTAGCAAAGTTTAGTATTAAAAACATAAAGTAAAAACAAGATGGCCGCTGTCGTAGATCCCTTGCAGTATGTCATAGACCCCTGGGGTACACCAAAGGTTCTCAAACATTTTGTGTAGTAGACCCTCCATTCTTACTTTGTATTGAATTTTTGTAAAATTTTAACTGTAGCAGACCCCTTGCAGTTGGTCATAGACCCCTGGGGGTCGATCACTGATATAGACAGTTAGAGGTTAGAGTCGATATAGGTGGAACTGCTCGTATTAAACTGCGATCATATACGTCCAATTCAAATTACCAGCAGGCTGTCAATGAATGATAAGCCGCCTGCAATATATTCCTGATAGCACGTTAATTACACCCGAGTATATATTCGTCAAAGAGAACACGGTAAATTGATTCATTGTGGATTCTGTGAGGATACCTGTACGGCGTGATATGTTAAATACAAATATCTTTATTTTGCCTGAAAAGTGGTTTATAGGATTTCAAAAAATTATAATTTATGTATCACACTTTTCACCAGAAACTGGCATGCAAAAATTAACAGTGTCCATCTAAATATATATAACTCAAAGGTGGCTGACGTAGTGATCTATCAACGCACAGCCCAAAACACTTCACGGATCAGGCTGAAATTTGGCGTGCAGGTAGACGTTATGGCGGAGGTATCTGCTAAGAAAGGATTTTGATTAATTCTACCCCCAAGGGGATAAAGTAGGGGATGAAACTTTGTATGAAACTTTGTCAATTTTAAACCGATTGGGCTGAGACTTTGCATGCATAAAGTTACTATGACGTAGGCATCCCCTAAAAAAGTAGTAAACATAAAGATGAAGGCTTAACATATTCAATATTTAAATAGATTACTAATAACCATTGTGCAATACTATTAGCTTTCTTAATAAAAAAAATGCTATGACTATTCAATACTGCTTAAATAGAAATATAAATAATCTTTCAAATAAACTCATTACATGCACTTTTGAATAGTCATATTTTGATTCTACCACTCATTCGGAATGCAGATTCATCACAAGACGAATAAGCAAGAAACTTGTGTGTTGCTCTTTTGAATAGATTTTTTTTATATAAATAATTACAGTATAACAAGTAAGAGGCATGCGACAATCAACATAGAAATCGCTACGTACTCATTATTAGTGTAATCAGATAATATTGTCAGTGCTATGGATTTTAAGTTTTTCTATAAAAGCATTATTGTCGTTAACGAATTCTTTAATTTTATAGTAAGCTTTTATGCACAGGAAGTGTTTTATATCACATTTAAATCTTTTTTCAGGCAGATTTAACAAACTCTGGTATTTCATTGTAAAACCTTACGCAGAATAAGTTTAATGGATTTTCTATTCTGTTCTATTTTAGTGTATAGGTTAGCTGTCATTGTAATTAAAACGGCCCTGGATTAGAGTCTGGTATAAATGTACAGAGAGTCGTAATTAGCGAGCACTGATCCGTACTGATCCAATGCTCCCATCAGCAATAGGTACATAGTACGTACAGATATAACAAGTCATATGGGCCCTGAATTGATTACTACCATTGAATCCGGCTGATAAATCAGAAGCCGGCGTAGTTACTTTGTAAAACATAATCTCGTTTCACACACAACTATTGTGAAATACAGGCCACTAATTTAGTCTATCATAGAGGTTCCCAAACTTTTTTATGTGGTAGACCCTTGCCATATTTTTCGGTTTTGGGTAGACCCCCCATTCTTACCTGGTATTGATATTTTGTAAATTTCGAACTGTAGTAAAGTTTAGTGTTAAATACATAAAGTATTATAAAAACAACATGATGACCAGTGTTGTAGACCCCTTGCAGTTTGTCATAGACCCCTAGGGGTCGATATAGACCACTTTGGGAATCACTGGTCCATCATCTTATAAAATAGATATAAAATAGCTTTATATTTCTTATACCAAAATTCTATTCGAAATTGTCACTTCTACGCAACGGATTTTGAAGCAATATTTTTTATAGATAGAGTGATTCAAGAAGAAGGTTTATAATACATGGACACCCATGCGAAGCCGGGGCGAGTAGCTAGTTATATTTATAATATTTAACCTGGATTACGATACTAACGCTAGATTTCACTAATCGCAGTATAAACAAGTTCAAGGAAACGGAGTTCAGCGTAAACTAAAGAAAAAGAACGACGTTGATCTCGTTTTACTTTAAATGGAATTCGCCAGCATTATATAGACCGCGTTTACTAAAATTAAGTTTAGATTTCTATGGGACACAGTCATAGATACATCAAAATAATAATTGCATTTAATAATGTCTAGTAAGACAAATTCAATATTGTCTACTAGGCATTTACTGCTGTATCTAAACTGTGTCACCCCACCAACATTTTCCTGTTGTTATTTAGTATATAAGATCATTATTTCTATGTACATTGTCAGTTTATCATCATCTGTAATATACATCGCCTCGACCAGCAACATCGTATTATTCACCCGCAACAGTGGTGACCCCGACGTGATCGCGTTCAGCGTACGATCGTTTCTAGATGCCAAGAATGCATAATTAAATTACGACGTGATCTGGCCGACGTGGTCGAGACGATATTTCTGGGAAAACGACGAGATCAAACAAGAGATCTCTGTCTGACGGCATCCTGCGCACCACCAACGATTGCACATTTCCACCGGCTTCCCAGAAGCGGGTCTCACCGGCTCGGATATTCAAGAGGCATAAAAGTCGTTGGCAATACTGCGCAACAAGGATCCTGCCGTGCTACTGACCCCCAGTAAACACAACTGCCTGCTGGATATAATCTCTGGACGAAAAATTGAAACTGGAAAAATAAAGCAAAAATGCTGTCTACAAAAGTACAGCCAACAGTCACCGCCGACGTCATTGCACACCTGTCGTCACTAATTGCGACACTGCGATCAGAAATTGCTGATATACGCGAAGTTAAGCCGCTACGCCACACACAAACAGACGCAGCAACTACCGATCTAAATCAAATTCGCACCTACGGTCATTGCGTAGTCAGAAAAATGACTATTATTTATATTATATCATCGCAAATATAAAGAAAAGGCATACAAACGTGACATGCCGCGCTCCTATAGACAACCGTCGGAAAACTATATAATCGACGCAGAATAATACGGAACGCTGTGCTGTTCATCCGTCTAACCGCCTAGCTATTTAACCGACTCTAACAGTTGGCTATAGGCAATTTTGGTGGACACCGAAAGCAAAAATCTCGATGAATAAAAAACAAGCACAGACCAAAGAGAGCGCTAGCGAAATTAAACTATTCGCCGCAAACAATTAATATGAGCAAATGCGAGTTCTTCACAAATGAGTTAGATTTTCTTGGTTATCATATAACGAGCCAAGGGATGAAACCAACGCAAGAAAAAATGGTAAGCAATCGACGAGACCCTAAACCCACGACAGTCGAAGATTTTGTCGTTATTTGGGTATAATGAATTTTTATTGTTACTAAAGTGCATAATATCTTAAATTTTACATATATTTCTTTTATAATTTTTTTTTTTGTGTGTAATATATATTTTTTTTATATAATTTAATATCTATGGGATCACAGTCGTCCACCTGATACATCAAAATAATAATTGCATTTAATAATGTCTAGTAAGACAAATTCAATATTGTCTACTAGGCACTGCTGTATCTAAACTGTGTCACCCCACCATACATTTTCCTATTGTTATTTAGTATATAAGATCATTATTTCTATGCATACATTGTCAGTTTATCATCATCAGTAATATACATCGTCTCGACCAGCAACATCTTATTATTCACCCGCAACACATTCGTTCACAGTGTTACACGCTCATAA